CCCGCCCCCTGCCGTATCTTATATTTTGGAATTCTCTCAAATGACAAATGAATAGCTTTGATGATAGGCGTTATTTTCAACAGTTAAGCGACTTTCAGTGACAAACAAAAGCATCAATAGGAATTAAGCCCTGTTTTGGGGGAGAGGGACTCTGCTGCAGGAACAGTTATATACGAAGACCTGACCTGACTGTCTGGCTTCTCTCAGAACCTTTATTGACGTTTTGCCCTTGGTCACCGTCATGCAGACTGGTACGTTTCCTGAGGTGGGAGTTGGACTGTTCCCGGAGTGAAAGCTGCTGGGACAGACTTTCAGACGAGGTTAAACACATATAGAAGAGGCTCTAGATATACTGAGCAACTGTCGCCTTTAAATGATGGCATTCAGGACTGTTTCTTAATGTATATTTTAGCCTCTCTAAAGGTAATGAATAGTTTTAATTATTAAAATGTGGGCTTTTGCTTCTTATGAATTACATTAGATCTTTATCGGCAAACAGAAAGCGAATTCAGCCTTCTGGGAATATGAAGTCATGTTATTCACCAATTTCTTTGCCGAAGTTTATATAGAGAGAATAGAATTAATTGTAGTCCATCATATAGCCAAGTTAATACTGTTTGAATATTACTCGTCATTAAGTGGCAAGTTTATGTATATAATAACAATCAATACAATCCTTAAATAATTAAATGATGTGCCATCTTACACTAATTTATTAGCTGTAAACTTTAGGCAGACATTGTGTCACCTGCACTGCTAGCACAGTAGTGGGTTTTCAATCCTGAAATGCGAATATGATGCAAATAAATTGTGCAATTGTATGACATGGAAAACTTGGCTTAGTGAAACATCGCCTTCTAAACCTTAGGTGGGAAGGGTAATACCATACAAAAGTATAAATACCAGAGTAGCGGGCAAGAACAGTACTGATGTGTTTCTGCACTACTGGCATATAATTTGATTTTGTGGGACATGACATTGCGGTTTATATGTAATTTACATAAAAGGACTTAACATCTCTTTCTCTTCTGATTTTGTTTCTTCCATGCAGCGTTGTAATTTACTGCCTACTGCATATGATGATAGATATAATTGTAAAAATAACAGATTAGTATGCAGTGAATGATTAAATGATAGTAAGCTCACATAAAGAGGAACAAACCAGGGCAAAACATAAAATATCTGTGGTCATGCTACCAAAAATTATTAAGAAATGAAACTGAAGTCCTGAAAAGCACTTTAGTGCAGTACATAGCTTGTGAACACTTTGTAAATCAGATCATTGCATCAATCTCTGCTGTTGAACAATATGATAAGATTATAGTCCCCATTCTCTTTAGATTTGGTTGTGCTAGTGGGAGGTGAATGTTTTATTGATCTCTTTATCTATTGATAATAATTAGTAATATTACTAGTGGAAAAATGGTGATTTTATATAATGCTGTAGTACTTTTGTTTCTTGGGAGGGTGCAGTCTTGAGCTGGAAGTTGGTATTTCCAATTTACTATAGCACAGAAGGCAGCAGAGTAAGTTCTTTGTAGTGTATAGACAGCTGTCTGTCTATTGATGATCTGTCAAAGCTTTTTGGGGAGTGAATTGGGGTGAGGGGGAAGCTTAATCATTAAAACTTCTTTCTGAAGGCAGTCTGAAAAGCAGCTATTATCCGTGCTGGTTTGGACTTCCTGAACAGTTGTTGAGTTTGAGAAGTCATTGGTTTCTTTTCATAGCTTTCTTTTACAAATACTTTAGTGACGCTTTGTGAAATGTAAACTTGATTGTTTAACCTGGGTTTGATTATTGCTCCCAAATATTTCTTCCCCACTGGCTGTTTGATGCTTTTCAGGTAATGACTGTGACCCTTCTTCTGTACTCGACTTCACTGGTATGGGCATTTGAAGCCTCCTCCCCTTAAATAATAATTGCTTCCAGTGAGCCTCCAAATGAAGCAAAAGCTTGGATGCTCAGAGCTTGGTCTGTTCTTAGCGACTGAATTTTCTCTGCTCTTAAATTTTTGTCCCACTGAACAGCAGTGCAAACCTGAAATACTTCTGTTTGTAGTATCAGTACATTGTAATTCTAGAACCACATCATTGTGAAAACATTGGGGATGAGAAATGCTTGCTTCATTGAATATTTGTTGCATGCTACACACATACATGTTCCACTATTGAAATTCAGTGTGGAATTCCAATGAACTATTTGTGGGAAATTAACCTTTATTCTTCTAAAAGGTTCAGACTGCAGGGTTTTCTATTCAAAGTAGCTATAGATACTCTGCTTCTATGATTCTTTGAATCATGTCACCCTGTGTTGACAAGGTGACCAGAGTTATTTTTGAGCTTGGAACCAGAGTGACATTTTTTAACTGCAGTGACTTTTCAGGGACTGAAAGCAGAACTAGGGTAGCGTGTTCCCAAAATGTATGTTAGTAACGAAAAGTCAGTGGTTTCCTCCTGTCTAAGTATTGAGGTCACCAGTGGATATGTATTAGCACATCTTACAACTTTAATTAATTCCAATTTTTTAGGCTTCTATTTTCCATCTCAGCATTTATAAATGATTTAGGGCACAGTCCATCTTGTACTATACACACATACAGGACAAAGCTCAGTTCTTGACTGGAATTCCTAAATGGTGCTGCAGTACAAATTCTGAAAAGTCAAAATATTGCTCACCTTAGTTATAGTCTTGTAAAGTCAATGACATTACAACTTCTTCACATGGGGAAGCATGAGTATCATTAGATTTTTTTTAATATTTAGCTAAGTTTCCTATACCATGTTAAGTAGAACTTCCCTGGTGAAATCTTTTGGGAAGTCCCTACTGTGATGTGATTCACTAGGCACAAATTTAAAAAAATACGATTTCCAGTCAAATTTTTTATTTTCCAAAATAAGCTTTTGCCTTAAGATGGGTACCCTTACACTTCCAGCTAGTTTCCAGCTATTTGGGCTAAGCAATATGGATGCAGTTTTCTGTAATTTAGGAGTGAAATTTATCTAGATTTTAAAAATTCAATAAGAATTTACAGAACAGCTTCTTTTTGCTCTAAATATGTTCAGCTGTTCTATCTCTACAAAATATCCAGGGAAAAAACAAACGCACTGAGAATAAAGACATGTTTATTAATTGAAGAAGCAGTCCAGTGTTGCCTCCACACGGATATCTTGTAACAAACATTGATTTCACCTGGTACTTGGGCACTTTAAAAAAAAAACTTTATGTTTTTAACTTTAATTACATTTCAAGAAAACATGGCTTTAAAAAACCCAAAGCAGCCCCATGTATAATTTTAAAATATATTTTCTACCAAAGAGTGGATTTTACTATTGTCTACTGATTTTTTTTTCTAATTTGTAATTCAGTTTTAATTTGTACAGAAATTAGCATGCAAAATATATCTTTATAGCCAGGTAGAAATGCAGAAGCATGGTTACAGTTTCATGGGAAAGCAAAATCAGTACCAGCAGAT